GGGACTTATTTGTGATAGTTTAAAATAGGAATTAAAAATTAACACAATGTTGAACTCAGTAAAAGTGAATGCTTTTGAACCACAGCACCCAAAAGGAGAGAGAGAACAAAAGGGAGTGCCCTGCCACAAAGGCAGAGTGGGATGGGGGGCTTGGGGGGGTGGGAGGGATACTGGGATTAGTGGTGGTGGAAAATGGGCACCGGTGGAGGGTGCCCTACTCAATCATTATATAATTGATACCCAAGCACAAACATTTGTAAGTTCTACAACTGTACCTCAAGGTTTCACTAATAATAAAATAAAATAAAAATCAAGATTTCAAAAACAAAAAAAAAGTGAATGTTTTTGTTAAAGCAAAATTCTCTTCACTACTTTATATACAAAATCACCCGGAGGCAACCCAGACAGAAGCTCTGAATCCATAGGAATGCTCACCCCCAGGATGGGGACCCAGTCGGGGCCCTGCTCTGCAGGAAGGGCCCTGTGCTGGTGACGCTCCTGCCCAGGATACCTGGTGCAAGTGTGGGCTGACCTGTACTGTCGGATACCGACTGTCACAGAGGCCTCTTGAGGCTTGACCTCCACTCCAACCGGAGAGGCGAGTGGCCAGCCTCCACTCTGGAGCCCGGGTGTGGCACACCACATTTCTCCCTGTGAAAGCTAATCTAGGTCCGTATTCTGCTGGCAGCAACCAGTGCAGACCCCAAGGGCTAAAGGGGAGATGTGGGGTGGGGGGGCAGTCACCAGGGGCACAGGGAGCCCCTCACAGGCCCCACCGCACCCTCACGCTGCCCCTGCAGGCGCAATCCTGCCTCCTTCCCCAAAGTTGCCAACAAGTTAAACAAACTCCAGTTCTCTGGTGGCCTGCTGTGGCACAATGCCAACTGAGTAATTAAACATTTTCATAAAAACAGTAAAGTCTCAAGTTATTCCAAAAGTAACATATGGAAGTATTCCTGTTCTTACAAAACTCAGTATGGAAATTAATGAAATACATGTAAACAGGGCATTTGCTTAGAATAAACATTTATTTTGACAAAAGTTCACAATATATCTGCAGCTAAAATGACGGCCAATAATTCATATCTTTATAAGACGTATACATGTAAACAGACTTTTAAAAAACCATTATTGAATCACCATGAGATATAGTTAAAGTTGCTCATGATTGAGCTTCAGTCATACAACAGTCGGACACCACCCCTTCCCCAGTGCGCATTCCCTGCCATCAATGTCCCAGGGCTTCTTCCTTTCTCCCTGCCCACCCCTCTGCTGACCCTCCCCCGCCCCACTCCCCCAGGAGCCTACCTCTATGCCAGACACTTCACTCCTCTTCTCTATTCCTCTTCTCTCTTCTCTCTCCCTCTCTCCCTCCCTCTTTCTCCTCTCTTCCCCCTCCCCCCTCTCTCAGCACTGTAGTCTGCAATACTGCTACTGAGAGGCTGTGCATATATATCACTTTACTTCCCTTCAGCACTCCTTTTGGTCCAGAGTTCATTTCCAACTACCATGGTCATAGTGGTCCCTTCGCTGTCATAACTGCACTCCCCTCCCTCTTCGTGGAAGTCTCCTACCATGGATCAGTCCTCCTGGCCCTTGTTCCTGCTGCCTTTGGGTACCATTTACATACTATTTCTTTATGAGAGAAATCATTCTGGTCTGTGCCTCTCCCTCTTCACTCCGCATAATACTCGCCATTCCCATCCAGGCATATGCAAATTTCATGACTTCATTTTTCCTGATAGTGTGTCGTGTTCCACTGTGTAGATGTACCATACTTTCTTTTATTAATTTTTTTATTTTATAAAGTAGTTCACAATATTTGATTGCATTTAATATTCAAGATGAGAACGCCATTCAGGTCTCCCAAAGAAGAATAGAAAGAGCTATGCTTGGAATATCACGTTTCACTCAAATGAGAGAACGAATCCGGAGTTCTGACATCCGTCGACGATCAAGGATCAGGGACGCTGTCTCATATGCCAAGGTGTCGAAAATCAGATGGGCTGGTCACGTAATGAGATTTAAAGACGACCGTTGGACTAGAGCTGTTACTGATTGGATTCCACGGGATGTCAAGAGACCGCGTGGCCGCCCACCTACCAGATGGTCAGACTTCTTTGTCAAGATCATGAACGATCGGTTTGAGGCCCTCCATGTTCCCGGAGCAAAGAGATGCCATTGGGCTACACTAGCACGCGACAGGGACAAATGGAGACGTTACTGGCGCCCGCTCGAGCAAATCGACGACTAACGGGAAGTTAAGTGATTAAGTGATTAAGTGATTCAAACACCAATTACACCACCATATTTCAGATATTTCCATCCCGAACCCTAATCCCTGCCCCAAAGCCGAACTGAAATAATATATTTTGTATAGTTTGTTATGTCAAACTGCTGAAAATGCTATAAAAAAGTATCCTTAGAGGAAAAAGTGTGAAGACTATTCTATTTCACCCAGTGGCCATTAAGCCCTTCTGTAAGAGATCACTAACATGCTGTTAAAGGTTGAGCTTGTGTGCTTTTATATACATGTATATCTGTAAAAAAAAATATTTCCCTCTGCGATTGGTTGCCTACTACTCTGAACCCCATCAGATGTGGTGCAGTACTCTTGGAGGATGGGTAGGGTGTGTGGTATGAAGTGTCCAGGAGTAGGTTCACTCATGGGTGAGGCTTGGCCCGAGCATGTGGAGAGTGGCCATGACCATGGCGGCACTTGCGTTCTCGAGGTTTTCGGCTGCTGGGGCTGGGGCCCTTGGGGTGGGGAAGGGTCTCACCCACCCCCCTCCAGGGCGCCCAGAGTGAAACAGACTGGCACAGGGTCCGGCGGCATGGTTATGTGGCATATTTTCTTCATCCAGTCGTCTGTTCTTGGGCACTGGGTGGTTTCCAGACTCTGGCTCTTGTGAGCACTGCTGCTTGAACAAAGGAGTGCAGATGGCTTTTCTGCATTTTATTTTTGGGCTCTTGGGGCATATTCCCAGGATCGGTACTGCTGGGTTGCATGGAAGCTCAGTTTCTAGTATTTTTGAAGAAGTTTTTCCAGAAAGGTTAGACCAACCAGCATTCCCACCAGCAGTAAACGAGAGTCCCCTTCTCTCCACACCCACGCCAGCAGCTCTAGTTCTTCTTGCCCTTTTGATGTGTGTCAGTCTTTGCGACATGAGAAGATAGTACATTGTTTTGATTAGCATCTCCCTGATTAAGCAGTGATGCAGAGCACTTTCTCATTTGTCTTTTGGTCATTTGCATTTCTTCTTTGAGGAACTTTCTGTTCATCTCTTCTCCCATTTTTTGATGGGGCTGGATGTTTTTTCCATGTAAAGTTCTACCAGTGCCTAATATATATAGATTGGATATTAACTCCTTATCAGATGAGTGTTGGGTAGTTTTTTTCATCGTGAGATGTCTTTGTATTATGGTCAACGTTTCTTTTAAAGTGTAGGAGCTTCTTAATTTAATGTAGTCCTATTTGTTTATCTTTGCTTCCAAATGAGTTCTGGAGGTTTTCTGGCTGCCAGGGCTCTGTCGGGGCACATGGGGAACTCACCCGTCACCCTCCGGGTTGCCCAGCCTGGTGCGGGGTCAGGAGGCATCTCTGCGGTGTGTTGCTCTTGTATTGCTCTCTTCTGAGAGATTTTCTCACTGAGTTTCTTTTTCACTGTATCCCGCTACCGCCTTTGGGCCTGGAGGGCTTCCTCCGATACATCTGCTGTGATTCCTGAGGCTGCTCCTTCGTACACAATTCCCTTCTTTCATCTTGCTGCTCTCAGTATTCTATCTATCTGGTTTTCTTCATCTGATTAGGACGTGTCTCAGAGTATTTTCACTTAGGCTGTTTTCAGCTGGTTTCTCCCGGGCTCCTGGGCCTGGGTGCACACGCTCTCCAGCAGATTCTGAGCAGCGTCTTTGTTGCTTCTGGATCTGGGACCCCAGTGATTATGGGGCCGTTCCTCTTCAATTCACCCTAGAGTTCTCTTGTCATCCGTTGGCGTCTTTAGAGGCTTTGTTTCCACCATCTGCTGTCTGGAGACTTTATACACCTTATCACGGGGTCACTGACTCTGCCAGCAGCAGCTGCTACTCTGCTGAGGCCTCTCGTGGCTTTCCATTTCACTCACCAAGGTCCTCAGATCTGCCGTTGCTCTTGTATTTTCCTCATTTCTACATTCAGATCCGCTTGTGTTTTATTGGTGATGTGTTCCACTGTTTCTTTGAGCTCTTTATACATCCTCAACAATTCCTCCCTTCTCAGAGAGGCTACGTAGCTCATTATTATGGGGGCGGGGGGTTAGTCTTCCAGGCCAGCATCTTCACTAAGGCTGGTGGGCTTCTGAATTGCTTTACCATCCTGACTCTGCAGTCTGGAGTTTGTGTGTGTGTGTTGTTGTGTTGCTGGGTGCCGACAGCTAGGATGTCTGTTAACAGCCCTCCCCTTCCTTAACACTTCTCGTGCAAGGTGCAATCCTGATCTGGGGGGCCTTGTGGGGGTACAAATGTCAGTCCTGAGGAAAATGCCGGGCCCCTGACTCCTGAGCTTCCTCAGCTTGCCGGGCCGGGGCTGTGTGGAGTCCAGGCCGGGTGGCTTCGCAGCCCTCCTGCCCTCGTCCACTTCGCAGGGTTGGGGGTGCAATCCTGACTTAGGGGGCAGAAAGTCTCTCCTGAGTAAAATGCCTGGGCTTCCTCAGGTTTCCACATGTCAACAGACGTTTAAAACAGCCCTGCACATCAAACGGTGGCACTGAGTGTGTGTGATTCAGAATAAGACAATCACACAAAGAGGCAGTGATCTGTGATCATAGAGCCACGGCAGGTGTTTTCTTCATTTTTTAGAAGATCATTATGCCTCTTTCAAAAGTAAAACATGTTTAGTCTGGTTGGTGGCACGCAGAAAACCCCCGCGTGCTGTGTAGAGGCCCAACAGGGCTGCAGGCCCGGGACTTCTCCATCAACCCACCGAGAAGCCTGAACCCTTCGGCAGCTAACCCACGGCCTACCTGAGCCGACCTCCTTCTCCTCCTCTTCAATGTTGTTTTTGATGCTGTCAAATTCCTCATCTATGGTCTGGTTTCCACGCATCTGAGACAGAATCCGACGGGCCTTCTGAGTCTGTCCTTTCTGAATGAGCCAGCGAGGACTCTCAGGCAAAAAGAGGAAGCCAAAGAACTGTATCACAGCAGGGATGGCCGCAAGCCCCAACATGTACCTGCAAAGAAATCCAGGAGTGTTGTCAAGCTTGGCTCACCAGCATGAGTTAGGAACAATTTTGTGCCACGCACTTTGGAAACAATACTTAATGCTGACTCTGTCCAAATAATTTCCTTTTTATTGTATGTGACCAGGGGAAAGGATATTTTTATATTGTTGAGAGAAACTGAGAAACCCGATTTCTCTCTCATATAGAACTACAATGAAAAAGTATAAAAACCACAATAATCACACATACGGATGCTGGGCTGGAGAGATAGCACAGTGGTAGGGCATTTGCCTTGCACGCGGCCGGTCTGACTGAGCCAGGTTCGATTCCTCCGGCCCTCTCAGAGAGCCTGGCAAGCTACCGAGAGTATCTCGCCCGCACGGCAAAGCCTGGCAAACTACCCGTGATGTATTCGATATGCCAAATACAGTAGCAACAAAGTCTCACAATGGAGGCATTACTGGGCCCGCTCGAGAAAACTGATGAACAACGGGAGGACAGTGATCGTGACATTACAGTGATCGTGACGGATGCTGAATCCAACATCGTAGACAATACCTGTCTGATTCTACAACCCTCAATTTGAAATGCAGCTGAACCAAACCCCTGTCCTCTGATGAAACACATCTCCTGACCAGAGATCCCTGTAGCAGCGATGCTCTGGGTCCCAGCCCCAGCCTGGGTGGGGCCCACCAAGGAGCAGACATGCTTTCCACGGAAACGAAGCCCTGACTTGTCCCTTCACTGGACTTCCGCTTCTAGACGAAAGTCAGAACCTCACCCTGCTATCCGGGACCACATCGACCCTCTGAGGGGGGAGGGGCAGGCCCAAAGGCATCCTCGAAAGCAACTATTGTCTTTAGAATAACCAGAAACAGGGAAAAGCTTCTCCAGCTGCTTCAAGTTACTAGCCACCTTCTTTGAATGCCTATTCTTTTTTTTTTTAATTTTTGTTAGTGAGACATCATGAGGTATACTTGTAGACTTACAAATTTTTGTGCTTGGGTTTCAGTTATACAGTGATTGAGTACCCATCCCTCCACCAGTGCCCATTTCCCACCACCACGGATCCCAGTATCCCTCCCACCCCCCATCCCCCCCATCCCATGCTGGGCAAGGCATTCCCTTTTGTTCTCTCTCTCTTATTGGGTGTTGTGGTTTGCAAAAGAGGCAGTGGGTGACACTCATGTTTGGTCTATAGCCCTATTCTTAACAGACGGCAAAGTGTCTCAGTGTCTCAGGCACTCCAGAGCATTCTGAACAGACATCTCCACGTCAACATTTGGAAATTGTGTGTGTGTGTGTGTGTGTGTGTGTGCGCGCGCACGCGCGCGTGCACATATACATGTAATATACTTGCACATACACATCTGTATTTATTATGGTACAGGGGATTGAACCAGGGGCCTCCCGCAAGTGAGGCATGTGCTTGTCCCTAAATCACATCCCAGTCCATCTCCATGTTTTTTAACTGACAGCTTAGAAAACCATCAGGCTTTTTCTTTCAATGAGAACATCCATGAATGTAATATATCCCAGTGTTTTCTGTTGCTCCAAATGCCTGGGTGTGTTCTACGGTAGAGTCAGCAAGCCAATCCAGTACTGAACAACCATGTTCACCCGTCTTCATGAACCAAGGTGCAACCACACTACCCACACACCCTCACAGGCCCTGTTCGAAGAACTGCCAGACCAAAGAAGCACAGTCCTGAAGACTTCAGAGATACAACTCATGAAATATGGTCACCATTTGCCAGACAATTCCATTTCTAAAAAAGTCAAAACGTAATAATGCAACACGGGTATAGTATCTACTACTCCAAAGAGTAGCTAAAACTATACACAAAACAGAAAGATCACTAAGATTTAGGAAAAAAGTGCTTATATGGCTGACGAAATCAGGTGGTCTTCTGCATTAAGGAGAGCTTACAGAGGGTCTTTCGTATAAACTCAACATTGCACCATGCTCTATTCATCCACACAACAGTTTTAAACTCAATTCATGTCACTACTTCTAGAATTTACTGTCCGACTGGAGTGCATTTTTGGATTTTTATCTAGCACAACAGCTAATGAAATGTCTGCACACAATAGGACTTTTTAAAAATAAAATGATATGAAGTAGCTATATATCTAAACTCCTATTAAAAGAATATCTCTGCCTCATTCTTGCAACAGTGCTTTACTGCAATTCTGCAAACATCTCACAGCAGTGACTTGCAGTGTTCAAACCTTTGTCATTTCTCACATGACCAGGCCTCTCCTGAAGAGGGCACATCTGATCCCTATTCACAGACCCCCCCCCCCTCTCTCTCTCACACACACACACACACACACACACACACACACACAATGAGCTGCCTCACAAAATCTTCTTCCTGAAAACGTACATTCTATTACTGAAATGCATGGAAGTTACATCAGCTTGGCATCTGTAAAGATTAGCTGTGAAGGTCTGGGGTTTATTAAGCAGGTCTTGGTGGCTGAAAACTCCAGCTTTCTCGGGGTCTGGTGGGGTGACCATCCCCTAGCCCACCCCCTGCCTCGGGAAGACCAGGCAGTCATGCCACACCCTGCTCTGCCGCTATGTGAGCTCACTTACCAGCCTGGCTCCAGACTCATAAATAAATGAGGGAGATCGCCCAGCCACAAAGATTCCCTGGATACCTGTTCCCAGCTGAGGCCTCCAGGGCGCTTCCAGAGAGGCAGGCAGCCACCACCCAGCCAGGCCCAGAACAGCCCCAAGGCCGCTGCCAAGCCTCTGGTCAGCTTCCCAGCTTTTATTCTGGATTCTCTGGAGCGACCTCTCCAAAATCCACAACACCAACATCCCGGTAGCAGTAACACTGAACGTAACATCGAAGTCAACCAATCTTGGCTAACAAAAACATTAACACTGAAGGCTTAACTTGCAACAGCAGTTTAATGAACCCCCAGACAAGGACTTGATCTCTCCATGGTGAGATACAACAATTTTCTTCTACAGAAAATTTTTTTATGATTCTATCAGCCATTTAATGGTAACGAACAATATAAAATAATTGCTGTGGGTTTGCCGCGAGGGCAGCTTGAGGGAAGGTTGGGAAAATGGAGACAATGGCAGAGGGAGGTGGCAGTGGTGTGGGACTCGTGTCGGAATACTGAATGCCTGTAACAAATCTTTGTAAACCAGGCCGTGTTTGAGTGGGGGAAACAAAAGTGGGACAAAAATGTCTGCCTCAAGACGCAGTGACTTTAAGACGCTCTCTGAGAGGCCTGAGTGAACTAAAGATGCGACCCTCAAATTCTGTTTTCCAATCTCTGCGTCCTCCTACCCACACCAAGTACCCGGTGAGGGAGGCATCGCGTCCTCTGTGTTCATTTCCTATTTCTATTTCCCCCTAGTTCTTCCGCCTCAAAATCCCAAACCAGATGAAAACGCCTTGCTCACGGTGCAGAGCTCTGTGATGGATGGTTTTAATTGCGGTAGGCCACTGCAGGAAAGCCCTTGGAGCCAGGCTGCGCTCCAATATGGCCCATTACAAAATTGCAGAGCTCTACGGCACCTCAGCTCAGCTCTGTGGAACCCCCAGCAAGCACACAGGTGCTTACACACCACTATCACCGAGCTGATGTCCTAGCTGTTTTTAACACTATAATTTCCTATTCTTTTTCAAACTCATAGTCAAAAGGAATAATTTTTAAATAAAACCTCCCCTCCATTTCCTAATTACTATCTTGAATATATACTAAAGTATACTTATTAACAACAGCATCCTTACTAAGAAATCAGTTGCAAGTTTTTCCTTAAAACACTAATATTAGCTGGATGACCATCTCTGAAACTTTGCCCTGAGTACAATTGGGTTTTCACCAATATTGTCTACTAATACCTAAGCACTGTCTTAGAATACACAAAAAAGAATCAAGATAAAATTGAAGCTCTGATATAAGACCCAGCCTTGGTCTTCTGGTTTGCATTCTGTTCACGTCCACTGCTGTTGAGCTACAGATCGTATCTGAGTTAGACCAAGTCAGACTATCATACACAGTAATACTATGCTTTACTCTTCGAAACTCCAGTTCCAAGCTGACATCCTCTCTCACATAACCATGAAATAATTTTCTCTGAAATCAAAAAGATTAGCAGTTTATCCTATGTCTCATAAGTTCTTTAATAAGCTACTGAAAGCTTTTTTACTATGTCTGAAAAGCTAAGACTGAAATTCTAGTGATCTCTCTCTGAGCATCTACTGAACACTACCAACGAACATCTTCTGAGAGCCTATAAGCTCTGAGCCGAGCACTGAGGATCAGGAATGAACACAGATAGTACTGAATAAATAATCCCAGGTACCCACCCCGGAAACTGCCTGTGACATTCATCATTATTTCCCTAGTTGGGGCAGGGAAACACTTTCTTAAAAAAGCAGAACCCATGCTCTTCACAACGCATCCAGGAACACTGTAACTTCAGTCCTAACTGGAGCTGACCAGCTGCACTGGTCTGCATTCCTGTGCATTCTCACTTTTCTCTGTGAAGATCTCAATCACTGTATGACTTCTATTCCTGGGTTTACAGAAAAATGGTGATAGATGGCAAAAACAAAACACTGTTTTGATAGTCAACAAGCAAGCTAAGATTCTTATTCTACTTAATGTCAAAATTTCAACAGGTCTCATTCTCCTGACCCTGAAAGAGTCTCCAATCATCGGGAAAAGACGAGTAAGAAGAGGCTGCGAAAATCTCAGGGCTGGGAGGAATAGAGATGTTACTGGCGCCCACTCGAGTAATTCGACAACCAATAGGATGACAGTGATACAGTGAATGTCAAAATTTAAATGCCAAATATTAACACTATGTTTACCCATCTATTCCAGTTACAATGACCCTAACCATGAGAGTGATCACTCTGGATCTATCACTGTTCTTCTGACCTCACTCAGGATATCTTCCAGTCCATGCTGCGACAAACGGCATGATTTTTTCTTAGAGCTGCATAGTATTCCTCTGTGTGTATTCATATATA